TAAGCTGAGCGGTGACGTACAGAGCTGCTCGGGTCGGCTCGATGGTCTTTCGGACGAGGAAGCCCAGGGTCACCGCCGGATTCAAGTGCGCTCCGCTCACGTCTCCGAACGTGTATGCGAGGGTGCTGATGGTGACGCCGAACACGGTGGCCACTCCGATCGGGGCTAGCAGGTTCGCGCCACCTAGGGCCTGCGCGGCCGGATAGTTGACGGCGGTGGTGATGACGGTGAAGAGGAAGAGGCCGCTGCCCACGAACTCCGCGATGGTGGCTCTGTAGAGCGGGCTGTCGTAGAGGCTCGGCATGTTTGGTGAAGACGGCTTAGAAAAAACGTGAGATATTCGCGCGGAAACGCAAAACATGTCTGAGAGGCCATGCAAAAAAAATCATAACATGCAGCATAAATGCGGGGGCATTGAGATACAGTGCTCCATTGCTCGTAACGCGCTAGAATCCGAATGCTTGGATCGAGTTCTTGCCCCTCACAAATGCACAACGTGATGGGCACACGTGAACATTTGGAAGAATCTGAGCACATGATGAGTTGGTGGGCCTTCAAGCACACAGCCTTGCTGCTCGAGCTCGAGCGTCACTTTTTCTAGCATCCTTCGCGAGTTACGGAACCGAGTCAATCAATCTGTGTTCTGGCTAAATCGATGCTATGTGATCATGTACTGGATCGCTTGCGCTTCTGGCCTTCCCTAAAGCCTTCTACAATGCTTTCCCACTCGTAGTCGTCGTAAAACATATGCTCCACGGTAACTTCGCGATCTGGCACATGTGTGAGATGGTAACGTAGGCGCTCGATGTATGCGCCCATGCGTTCTCCCCACATTGCCTGGTCTCGGATCACCGGCACTCCGAGCTTGTTGTACTTGAAGCAGCTCGGGTATTTTCTGCCTTGTGCGGACTTGAAGCCGTCTGGATTGAAACGGAGCTGGACCTGGGGTCGATTGCCGGCATCCTGGAAGAGCTCCATCGTTCTCTTATTCTCGCAAGTGTAGTTATGGTGTTGATCCTCGTCATTCTCACAGTGCACCGTGTGAGTATACAGGTCCACAAATATGTCTAGCTTTCTCCCCGAGCACCCCCCCTGGAGCCTCCTGTCAAAGGTGATTCCCGCGTCCCCTGGAAAGACGCCTGCGGCCTTAATGTAATCGACGAAGTGCTGCTCCTTGACCTTGTAGTAGCGAGAGACCTTCTCCCCTGGGAATAAGTGCACATAACACCGCAGACAGTGTCGCTTGTAACGCTCAGGTACGACCATAGAACCGCACCCGTTGACGCACATCGGGCTGACGACGTTCACCATATCGTCCGACTTGCAGTGGGCACAGCAAGTGGCTCGACCGCCTTGGAGGCCGAATGAAGGCTGCGATTTCCCACAGGCGCACCTCACGCTTTTTACGTTCACCATACCGTCCGACTTGCAGTGTGCACAGTGAGTGGCCCGACCGCCTTGGAAGCCGAAATAAGGCCGGGCCCTCCTACAGGCGCACTTTCGGTCTGCTAGGTTCACCATACCTCCCGCCTTGCAATTGCTGCAGTGAGTAGCCCGGCCGCCTTGTATACCAAATCTAGGTATCGATTTACCACAACAGCACCTCCGACTGACGACGTTTACCATACCCTCCGACTTGCACTGGTTGCAGCAAGTGGGCTTGTCGCCCTTGAGACCGAAAGAAGGCCGAGCCCTCCCACA